CCTTCTAAATATTAAAAGTATTTTACTTTTGGAAATTTATGAAGTGTATATGTGGCAAAAAACAATCAAAAACAAATTTTCTTGTAAGTTTACATTTATGGTCAATAAAAACATTAGGATTTTATTTTTTGAGCGGGGAAAATTCATTTTTATTTTTTTTCTTATTCTTGAAAATATACGACAGGCGGATCCGTAAAACAAGAAATAAAATTGGTCTGGCCTAATCAATCAATATTTAGTCAAAGATTATCGGTCCCTATATAATTAATATATCGATAGCTGGCCCTATTGTTCAGTGTGGAAAGAGTACCGGTAATAGGCAGTGTCTACAGTACAGGTAACCAGCTTCAGCGGCAGGGAGATGAGTGATGTAATTTTGTCATGGTAACCAAATTGAATGAAAATAGTCTGAAAAGCACTGTAACCCAATTTCACTTTAGTGATATAATAATAAATAATAGAGTTATATGGAATTTATATGGCACCTAAGATCCAAATGTTTATAGGCTGTTTGGAACAGCTGGATCTTCACTTCATGCTGGAATGTCTGAAGGTCAGTGGTTTGCAATGATATCTCCTTGGAGAGATTGTGTTTCTTCAACTCAAGCAATATTACCTGTGTTGTCGCCAGTTTGGAATGATAAATTGTAACCCCATACTTGTTTAAGGAGGCTTAGTATAGATATATTCTGCTCCAAGGTCTCCGTGGGGGACAAAAGAAGGATGGTTTCTCTGCAGAGACGACATTCTCTGGTATCAACAATGGGAGGAGCAGGTACTGTTGTTATGAGTGGGTGAGTGAGTGAGTGAATGAGTGCTCCATCCTTGTTTAAGGAGGGTTAGTATAGATATAGTCTGCTCCAAGGTCTCCGTGGGGGACAAAAGAAGGATGGTTTCTCAGCAGGGATGACATTCTCTGGTATCAACAATGGGAGGAGCAGGTACTGTTGTTATGAGTGGGTGGGTGAGTGAGTGAGTGAGTGAATGAGTGTTCCATCCTTGTTTAAGGAGGGTTAGTACAGATATATTCTGCTCCAAGGTCTCCGTGGGGGACAAAAGAAGGATGGTTTCTCAGCAGGGATGACATTCTCTGGTATCAACAATGGGAGGAGCAGGTACTGTTGTTATGAGTGGGTGGGTGAGTGAGTGAGTGAGTGAGTGAGTGCTCCATCCTTGTTTAAGGAGGGTCAGTATAGATATAGTCTGCCAAAAAGGTTTTCAGCAGGGGGAGGGAACAAAAAGAAGAATGGCTTCTCAGCAGGGATGACATTCTCTGGTGAGTGAGTGCTCTATCCTTGTTTAAGGAGGATTAGTATAGATATATTCAGCCAAAAAGGTTTCGGGGGGGACAGAAGAATGGCTTTTCAGTGAGTGAGAGAGAGAGTGAGTGAGAGAAGAAAAAGACAGAGTGAGTGAGAGTGAGAGAGAGTGTGTGAGAAAGAAAGAGAAAGAGATTGAGTGAGTGAGTGAGTGAACGCATTTGGGAAGCATCATATCAGTTTGGTTTGGAAGAAGATCCTGAAGTGATGCAGGTTTGAGATTTTGTCGAAACCACTAGCACGGGTATAATGCTAACAAATCTGAACACAATTAGGTCAGAACCCATGCATATTCCACTTCTTAGACAACTGGTCACATGAGTGAATGCCGTTGAATGGCATGGTCAAATAACATCTTCCTGTGTCATGGAGGCCTTTGATTAAGTCTAAGCTTTGACTAGAAATAAGGTAACACCCAACATAACATAAGCAGTCACAAACTTGATCCCTTCCGACTCTGAACGCGCATATTTCTTTCAACAACATCAATACAGCGGTATGATATGTAAACAAATTTGTATGAAAGATGTGAATCATATTGTACACCAGCATCTTGTCTGCCATCATCGTGTAGTCGGCTTCTTGTTCCTCATCCTGCTTCCATTATCCCTGCTTAATTGCAAGGAACGTGGCATATGTACCAACATCCAGTTTAGAAAGAATATCCCTGTATAGCCATTAAAGAGAAGCTGTCTATCTACCTACTTCCCTGCAGTAAGGGAGGCCTTGACATACTGGTTCGGCTCCAGTTGTTGTGAGAAAGCTACTGCAACGTACCTCATGGTTACAATGAAAATCAGGTTAAATATCAAAGCATTTAGTGGAGTTCACGAGTCACAACTTTTTCTGTAATTGAACGTTTTGTGAAAGTTACAGTTAATGGTGATCTTGTATTAGCTCTATTACTGATGTGGAAGTGGATTTGTTGTGAGTGGCTGGGTTTGGGGAGAGTGAGTGGGTGGGTGGGTGGTTTGGGGGATGATTGGGTGAGTGAGTGGCTAGGTTGATTTTACGAGATTGAGTGAGTGGGTGGGTGGTTTTGGGGTGATCGAGTGAGTTGGTGGTTTGGTTGTGATCTTGTATTAGCTCTATTACTGATTTGGAAGTGCATTTGTGAGTGAGTGAGTGAGTGAGTGAGTGAGTGAGTGAGTGAGTGAGTGAGTGAGTGAGTGAGTGAGTGAGTGAGTGAGTGAGTGGGTTTTACGAGATTGAGTGGGTGGCTTGGTTTTGGATGATTGAGTGAGTGAGTGGGTAGGTTGGTTGGGCTTAGGGTCTTGATTAAGTGTCTGGATGAGCGGCTTTTTAGTGACTGTGTGAGAGTGAAGGTGGATTTTTAGTTGCATGTGAAAACACAGGTGGCTTTTCAGTACTGTTGAATACAAACAGTATTTTCAAGCCACAACCCCAAAGAATGCCCTATTAACACCAAGACCTAAGCATTAACAGTAATTTTCAAGCCACAACCCAAAAGAATGCCCTATTAACAACCAGACCTACACATTAACAGTATTTTCAAGCCACAATCCCAAAGAATGCCCTATTAACAACCAGACCTACACATTAACAGTATTTTCAAGCCACAATCCCAAAGAATGCCCTATTAACAACCAGACCTACACATTAACAGTATTTTCAAGCCACAATCCCAAAGAATGCCCTATTAACAACCAGACCTACACATTAACAGTAATTTTCAAGCCACAATCCCAAAGAATGCCCTATTAACAACCAGACCTACACATTAACAGTATTTTCAAGCCACAACCCCAAAGAATGCCCTACTAACAACCAGACCTACACATTAACAGCATTTTCAAGCCACAATCCCAAAGAATGCCCTATTAACAACCAGACCTACACATTAACAGTATTTTCAAGCCACAACAACAACTACCACCAAGAAACCCATGTCCATTTATCAATAGCTAATGGTCCAGCTACAAACATGTCTATACAACCCTTTTAACACGCCACCAATCAGGAGTACAACAAGTATTATGTATCATGCCACAATTGCAACAACAGAAAATAAATAAATAAAAGTGCTTAAAAAACTATACAAACAGGACATTCAATGACAACGTAAATGAATGGTTTGATGTACAATAATATTCCACAGAGAAAGGCATTTGGAAATAACAGCATTGTGCAACATACCATAACTTCTCTATCGCACATGTATTTATAACTTTTACTTCGTCAGCTGTTGCATCATCAACAAGAGTAAAGAGAATTCAAATTGTACAGTTCAAAAAGACTGATACACATATCAAAAACATATTGTAAATCATGTTCTATTCACCATATGACTCTTTTTGGGGAAGAAATAAAAAAAGAGACTTGAAGCAAAAGCAGACATAGCACAGCAAGCGTACTTTCAACATTCAGATATACTTCTAAGAACTACATACAGTATTCAGCTTCTTTGACTGTTTGATCTCAGAGCAGAAGTATCATAAACCTTTGATTTGTGTTGCCTAAAGCCACATCTCTGATCTATTTATGGAATATACCAAAAACCGTTTATCTTATTGATTCTCAAGCAATACATCTCTACAAAAGCTTTATTGTTTTCATCAATAAAGTAATTAGCTATTGAAAAATTACTCATGATTTCACTCCTTGGATTGACTGTTTGTTTAAAGACCCACTTTGATTTGACAGTTTGTAATCGTTACTTCAATGGTATAAGAAAGTACCATAGTTTCTGTGTGATTGATCAAATAGATTAGTTGATATCCTCGTTAGAATGAGAAAGCCACAATAACTCGGTGCGCCTAGTGGCTGCAAGAGTTGTATACTCCCCAGGGAGTTGAGATTGATAATGCGATGTGCCGTTGAGATTGACATCCAATGATCGAGGGAAAAAATACCAGCACCTTGAGCATGCACTAGTGCGTGGATATGTGCGCTATATAAATATCCTATAATAAAATAATAATAATAATAATTGTCTGTTGTCTGAAGGAAAACCTCATTTCAGACATTGTTACGGAGTGAGTGAGCGAGTGAGTTAGTACCCATAAGGGGAATCGAACCCGGGTCTTCGGCGGGACAAGTGACTGCTTTAATCACAAGACTACCCAACTGACCCATTATTATGGAACACTGAAACATAAATCTTTTCTCAGCTACCGACCACATTTTAAACAATTCAAGTCAATAACTATCTCACAATTGATACAGGAACCATCTAAGCACTTAGTGTTGTCTTGGGACACATGTGTTGCAAGTGCAGATATGAACAAGTGCTGGTCAAGTCTACTTCTGTAGGGGAAAACAAAGTAAACGATATTTTTGCTCAATATTTGACATTTTCAAAATTCTGACACATTGTATTGTTATTTGTCAGTATCTAAGCCATTTGAAACATTCCTTAAATATGGTTCAGATTGTATAACTTAAGGTGTGTTATCCTTTACATAATACAAATGTGCCAATCCCACTGTTAACAATAGCTTCATCTCCCAATGTAATATCCTGTCATCCATTTTATAGCCCATGCAGTTCTATATGATTGTAACTTCAATTCCATTTATGACGTTACTGCTTTGAATTATGTAACAATACAAATTATCAATAACAGGATACTACTTAAAAACTGATTCACAACAGTTCCATGAATAATACACAAAAGTTTTGCTGAAGAATCTCGCCAGCTCGTTCAAACTGGCACACTCTATCTGTAGATGCACACCGGCCCTTTGCATCAGAGCTGGATGGGCAAGTCGCAAACTAGCCTTGTGAGCATTACAGCGTTACAGAGCCACTGTGGTAATTGTGTTCGGAGTTGTGGTAATTGTGTTCGGAGTTGTGAGGCAGGAGAGTGGCTTCCACACATGAGTGACCTTACTGTCAGCCTGTGATACTCACATCACGCTAAATATCACAGTGACACGCGTGCTGTGACTCCACACGATACAAGGTAAATATGTCTTGAGTAAATCATCTTATCATCAGTTGGAGAATTAACAGTTTCATAACTAAACTTCCCATATTGTGTCATGTTCATCAAAAACATTGCTATGATGAGAAACCATGCATTTATAAGGTTACATGATTCTTTCATTAGTGAACTCCTTCAGTCTCTCTTACGTCACTTCAAAAACTATGTATCTGATCTATCAGCCAATTAAATAGCTAACTGATGTCGTGGGGATTGGAGCATGAAAGAAATTGGTGAATTATGTCAAGTTATCTTTACTATACTCTGGGGAAATTATTCAGACATGGATAGTTTTTAATTTCTTCACAATGACTCAAGTGAAATTCAGAGATGCTTCCCGCTGACCCAGTTAAGTTTGTGTACATTCGGGGATGCTACATTACCGGTAATTGCTGACATCTTCTCATTCTGACTTTCCCATTTTGATTGTGTTCCTAAGTTATAGTATTGGAAATGTATGTTTAACAAAGCTTGAAACCGAAAATCAATATGAATGAAAATGTTATTCTTATCGGCTGATAATTGATATCGGATGTAGGAGTTACCAGTGTACTATAATAATGGATCTTGCTATGGATCTATTGGATGTATTCAACACAGATGCATGTGATGAAAACATTATATAGATTATAGCTGAAGAGGATATGCCACATTCCAGTGTAAATCCTATGTTTTAATCAAAATTCTGGACACAGCTTTCAATATTCATTTCAAAAAGTATAAATATATATTTGTCTGTCTGAACTGAATATATCAACATAGATAGGGGATTAAAATAAAAAATTGTACTTTTAACGATATTTATCCAGATAAACAATCTGACTATATATTTATAGCTGTATCTCAAGTTTAACCTACATATTAATGCATAATTTAGCATTAAGTTTAAAATCGAAGTCCTCCAACAGGCATGGTTAGGTGCCATTATCTATGTTAACATTTTGTAATTTCAAAAGTTCATGGCTTTAATTGAAAACAGTTTATTATGACTATTTTATGACTTAAAAACATATTGTAAAGATTGTGAGCTTTAGAAATTTACATGGCACAGAAAGGCTACACTGTTATAGCATTCAGAAGGCAGTTGGGTAGCTCGTCATGCCGAGGACCCGGTTTCGATTCCTGACATAGGCACAACGCATGAAGCCCATTTCTGGTGTTCCACGCCATGATACTGCTGTAATATTGCTAAAAGTGGCATAAAACCTGACTCCTATCCATTTCTCACAAAAAAAAGCAACAGTGTAATTGGTAAATACGTTCACAGAAAGTACTTTCAGGATATTAACGAACCTGCACTTCCACTACTTTAGATTTGGGTTCTAAAACCTTTAGGTATATTATAAATATTCAGAACACTGAATATGTCCACACCTCTGGACCTGTGAAACTCCAATAGGTCTGTGCTGGTTGTAAGATGTTTCTTATGTCTGACTCTGGACTCTGTGAAACTCCAATAGGTCTGTGCTGGTTGTAAGATGTTTCTTATGTCTGACTCTGTGAAACTCCAATAGGTCTGTGCTGGTTGTAAGATGTTTCTTATGTCTGACTCTGGACCCTGTGAAACTCCAATAGGTCTGTGCTGGTTGTAAGATGTTTCTTATGTCTGACTCTGTGAAACTCCAATAGGTCTGTGCTGGTTGTAAGATGTTTCTTATGTCTGACTCTGTGAAACTCCAATAGGTCCGTGCTGGTTGTAAGATGTTTCTTATGTCTGACTCTGGACCCTGTGAAACTCCAATAGGTCTGTGCTGGTTGTAAGATGTTTCTTATGTCTGACCCTGTGAAACTCCAATAGGTCTGTGCTGGTTGTAAGATGTTTCTTATGTCTGACCCTGTGAAACTCCAATAGGTCTGTGCTGGTTGTAAGATGTTTCTTATGTCTGACCCTGTGAAACTCCAATAGGTCTGTGCTGGTTGTAAGATGTTTCTTATGACTCTGGACCCTGTGAAACTCCAATAGGTCTGTGCTGGTTGTAAGATGTTTCTTATGTCTGACCCTGTGAAACTCCAATAGGTCTGTGCTGGTTGTAAGATGTTTCTTATGTCTGACTCCCTGTGAAACTCCAATAGGTCTGTGCTGGTTGTAAGATGTTTCTTATGTCTGAGTCTGTGAAACTCCAATAGGTCTGTGCTGGTTGTAAGATGTTTCTTATGTCTGACTCTGTGAAACTCCAATAGGTCTGTGCTGGTTGTAAGATGTTTCTTATGTCTGACTCTGGACCCTGTGAAACTCCAATAGGTCTGTGCTGGTTGTAAGATGTTTCTTATGTCTGACCCTGTGAAACTCCAATAGGTCTGTGCTGGTTGTAAGATGTTTCTTATGTCTGACTCTGGACCTGTGAAACTCCAATAGGTCTGTGCTGGTTGTAAGATGTTTCTTATGTCTGACCCTGTGAAACTCCAATAGGTCTGTGCTGGTTGTAAGATGTTTCTTATGTCTGACTCTGACCCTGTGAAACTCCAATAGGTCTGTGCTGGTTGTAAGATGTTTCTTATGTCTGACCCTGTGAAACTCCAATAGGTCTGTGCTGGTTGTAAGATGTTTCTTATGTCTGACTCTGGACCTGTGAAACTCCAATAGGTCTGTGCTGGTTGTAAGATGCTTCTTATGTCTGACTCTGTGACCTTTGCGGTTGTGGGTCATCATACTCTGACGATGTGAATTGATGCTCAGAACATCAATCACTGGATTGTCAGACTCGATTATTTACAGGCTGCCATTATTAACTGGAATATAGCTTGGTGTAGTGTTAAACAACAAAAACTAAACCACAAACATGTGACTCTTGGCTAAGACATGCTCCATGCTTGGCTGACCAACATGTTCTTCTAAGCCTGTCTGTTTTAATATGTTTCTTGTCTGACGCTAGTCTTAAATTATTGCCTTGCTAAAGAAATGAGTTCAAACATACTATCTTTTCAATCTTGAGAAAAACTATGCTGTAAATTTTCCGTCTATGTCTGAAACTAATGTTCTTTTGCCTCCAGATATACCACAACGAAAGTAAATCATCATTTCTCCCTCTCTCTTTTCTCATCGTCTAAACACTTCCTTCCATTTCAAACCCTTAAGCAACACATGCTTGTCATAACCCAGATAGCATTCGGACGTTGACCCAACGTTGGCAATGGTTTTGCCAACATTGCCAATATTGGGCCAACGTCCGAATGCTATCTGGGTAGTGGCGACTAACGGGATCAGGTGGTCAGGCTCACTGACTTATTTGACACATGTCATCATATCACAATTGTGTAGATCGATGCTCATGATGTTGATCACTGGACTGTCTGGTCCAGACTCGATTATTTATGCTGCCATAAAGCTGGAATAGTAATGAGTGCTGTGTTAAACAAACCAACCAACCAAACTTCCCTATCAAAACACAGCACCCCTGCTACCATGAATTTAGCTAAATAACAATGGTATGAGTTTTCAAGGATAAGCATTTTTGTAAAATTAGGAATCAGTTTTCACAAGGGGATTAAATTTTCTTGTCTTAGTTTTTCTACAACCCTGTTTACCCCTAGAATAATTGAGTGACATGAAACACCAGTGACAGTCTTTCTGTACCATCTGCAATTACAGTGTGTGAACTCCCTGAAGAGTATGGGATAATAGACCGAGCTGATGTTCACAATGCAAATTTAATTATTAAAGGCCATGTTGTCAAATTGGCATTTGATTCTTGTCTGTTTTAATACATTACTTCTTATGAAACAATTCCCAAAGGAATATTGTCTTTTATCTGCTTTTATGATAGATAATATAAAACATCAACGCCAGAGCAGCCATAATTATCTGCCAAAACTGATTGCACTGTTTGTAAAAAGCAAAACAGAAGTGACAGTTTTATCACTGGATCACTGTAAATCAGTGGCGAAAACTGGTTTCCGTAACAAGGAAAATCTTGAACTGCAATACTGATCATAGGGTATGTTACTCAAACATTAGTAACCACTTTCACATAACAAGGCAATATTGAAGCATACATTGAAAATATGCTCTTAAATGGTGTGAAATTTTCAAAGTGACAGACAATTAGTAGGTAAAAATACTAAGAAAGAAACACAGTTGCCCAGCATAATGCATGACAATATTGATGACTGTACCTGTCAACTGAAGGGTTGCCCAGTATAATGAATGGCAATATTGATATGACTTGCCAGTCAACTGAAGGGTTGCCCAGTATAATGAATGCCAATTTTGATATGACTTGCCAGTCAACTGAAGGGTTGCCCAGTATAATCAATGCCAATTTTGATATGACTTGCCAGTCAACTGAAGGATTGCCCACGATGAATGACAATATTGATATGACTGTAACGGTTGCCCAGAATAATGAATGACAATATCATTATGACTGCACCAGTCAACTGAAGGGTTGCCCACGATGAATGACAATATTGATATGACTGTACTGGTCAACTGAAGGATTGCACAGAATATATAAATGATTGTAGCAGTCACCTGAAGGATTGTTTTGAATGCATAACATTCTTCTATCAGTGAACTGTCGGATTGTCCATTAAACATGACATTTTTTGTACCAGTCAACAGAAGGATTCCCCAGACAAATTTACATTCCTTACATAACTGCATCAGTAACCTAAATGGAAGCTGTAACATCATTACACTGATCAAATGAGTGCTGCTAAAAGGACATTAAAATTTTGAGGGATTGCATTCTCAGCTTCTTGGGGAGTATACAAGTCAAGCAGTCTGTTAAGTGTCAGGTCTCACATAAACATAATCATCTCCCCTACTGGGTACCCATTAACTGCTTCAGGTGAACCGTAAAATATTCAAACAAAGCCACTTCCTGTAGGAGGCATGTTCAAGTTTTCTGAATCATTTCCTTGGGTCAATACCAACCACTCTGAAATTCTAAACATAACGTAATGCCTCATCACACAACTGTAAATGTATAGCATCTGTTGTTAGGTATATATGGTACAGATAATGATCAGCAAACATATTATAAGTTGTCTGGAGTGTAGCGCCGGAAGCCGAGAAGTGGTGAGGTTTAATATCATCTCTGTTTCTGCATGTTTAGTTGCCACTGAAACTCTGTTTTGTATCTGTCAGGTGTGTCATACTGTGACTTCAGGCTTCACCGACTGTAAGGATGTCAAAGATACTATCAGGGCTCCTTGAGCAAAATGTCATAGAGCCAGATGAACTTATATAGATTGTACAAAATGTAGAAAATTACTAAATTATTATAAATCCATTTCATATGGTAAAAAGTTAATGTTTTCAAGCCGCAAGGCTAGCTGTTTTCTACATAGACTGTCAAAATATTTTTCATGGAAACACTGAAAAACAAAAAGGAAAAAACATCAGCTAAAACCATTACCTTTAATTATGATCCTAAATAGATTCAGCAAATGTAACAACCGATCCAAAACTTTTTGAAGAAAAACGAATAAATCAATTAATCACCTCAAAATGCTTGAAGGAAGTGAAACAAAATAATTCAAATCTAGAACCTTTGGCCTTCTGGGAAACTAGTCGTAAAGGTCTTTAATTTAATTTAAAAAATGCTCATTCCATTAAATGGAAACTAGTGAAAAAGCTGTCTGATTGAAGCACCTAGGAGGCAATGCTATTGGCACGTAATGTGCGGTGACGAACAAGACAATAACATGATAGCAACACACAACTAAGTTGCCACAGTGTCCCGCAGTGAACAGATATCCCTTTACAATCAGAAAACAGTGACAGTCACACAAAACCTTGATGGCATACCTTACCAGCCAGGGCCATGTGATGATGCTCATCAGCCCTGAACAGGCATAAAAGTAACGTGAATCTGGTCACCCCATATCAAGATTTGCTGCATGCACGATGATGGTGACTGTAAACCTGAGCTGCACTAGTAAACTGTGAACAAAGCTATCACTGAGACGCTGGTCTAGCTTTGAATGGGGGAGTGCCTCGCTTGATGTGAACAATATGACTACAAGTGTTGCATCAATCTAACTTTCTCCGATGTGATCTGGGCATTCATGACGGTAGGGGACTGTCATCGGATACCTTGCACCAAAGGAGTATTGTCTTACTGGAATAGGTACAAGGTAAGACAGGGACACGGGGAAGGACGTTTAAGGACATTTAAGGTCTTTTGAATCAAAAATCATTATGAATTGGACCTGTTTTGATAATTTGTATCTTGAAAATATTTGTCCATCTTATGAATGGGATGTTCTATGATGAAAAGAATGAATGTATCTCAATGGAGTTGACATGTGAAAAGGTTACGTGTTCACAAGTCGAAGTTTGCCTCGAAGCACTGTGATCATGGTGTGTTATTTAAGTGTGATTCAGTATGATGGATCAGACGTGTTTGCTCTTCACACACTACCTGTTGGGTGTGTTCCTAAGATGGACACAAGCTGAATGTAGACATATTATCAAGGCTGCACCATGTGCATCATTATCTTGTTAGTACATCACTGATGCATGCTTCCACTTGCAGGTGCTTAATTCTGGAGGCAGATAAATACTTGACACAGGAATGTCTGGTAATTCATATAAGTCTGCATCAATCAGAGTTCATAAAAGAGTTAAGTTGTTTACATGTATGTCCTTGATGGACCATATATCTTCAACTTTAATATCTTCAATATCTCAGGGCAATTTTTTGTCCAAAGAGTGTATCATCAGGTTAATTTTTGTCCAAAGACTGTATCATCAGGGCAAGTTTGTATCTGAAGTGTATAGCATAAAGGCAATTTCCATCTAAAGAGCGTATCATGAGGGCAATTTGTATCTGAAGTGCATAGCATAAAGGCAATTTCCATCTAAAGAGTGTACCATCAGGGCAATTTGCATCTGAAGAGTATATCATCAGGCCCCGATTTCTCAAAACAAACTTCAGTCAGTTTTGACTCAAATTTGAGAAAACGCAGGGAAATGCATTTCCCAGAATGAACTGAAATTGATATTAAACTCAAACATAGTAGACAATTTAGTTTGGTAGATAGATTACTTAAGTTGTTTGGGATTTTTTTATTTAAAAAATGCAGTTGAGTTAAAAATTCAGCTGTTTCAAAATTGTCAAACTCAGTTTGATATTTGAGTAAAAACTTAAGTTTCTTTTGAGAAATCGGCCCAGGGCAATTTGCATCTAAAGAGTATATCATAAGGGCAAATTAATTCTGAAAAATATATCCCCATGGCACTTTTCATTCAAAGAATACTATATATCACACAAGGTGTTTTTTTTGTACCTCTAATGCTGTTGTATAAAAACAAGCTTTTCATACCTTGAATTGAAGGAGTCTGAAAGGAGGTCGTCTCATGGACGGGTCAGATCTCACACTTGCGTTCAGCAGTATCATATCCAGGTTTCACTGATGATGTCAATAGGCAGTACAGCTCTGATTTTGTTTCACAGCAAAAACCACATTAAATAACTGTTCCAAGAACTTTTTTTTACATAAAACAAGAAATGTATCTGAATTCCTTGTCATACTTTTCACATTTTGTAAATAAGGTCTGAATGACTCTCCCCTTGATCTTGATTTTCAAGCCAGCTTGCAGAAGCGAGTCTCCTTCAATGGTGGGCATGAAAGGGATCACCTCAAATTTATGATTCAACATTTATTTTCACATATTCATTTAATTTAAATCATCACTGCATCTTCATTGATGTTTAACAATCAAAATTAATGGTTGGACTGAAATAAACGGTTAAGTGGGAAAAAATGTTACAAATTAAATTTTTTAACTTGAGATGTTGCACGTGACCTTACAAGTGACATCTAACCGATGAACCTGAAATCAATTCCCATTGTCTTAACATCTACTAGAAAGAGTTGGAGAGGACGTTCCCTGTAGGCTGTTGAATAGACATGCAGTTAAACCAAAATAAGCCCAGTAAATTGAAAGACAGTTAAGTGGCCATTTAATTACAGGATCAAGACTCCCTATGTCAAACTTACTTCAGTGCTTAAAATGAATGGGTTTTTTTCACAGTCACCAAATTGGCATCACCATAAGTCAAAGCACAGACTGGTGGCATGTACTGGAGTTCTAGGCTGCCAAGCATTGTATGATGATCAATGATGATGATAATATTAATACATGTAATAATAACAGAACAAAAACATATTTGTATTGCAAATACAAGAATTGTGTATGTGCTTTGTTCTGGTTTGCTTTACAGACAGGTCATGTAAATTAACATTGGTTTATAACGTTATTAACGGATGATCGTCCATGAGGTCACTTTGCACACAGTATATTCTCAGGTCAATTTTCTTTCAGAGTTTTCTTCCAATTATGAATTTTCTCTTCACGAAAAGTTTCCAAATGTATTTTTTGTTGGGATGAAATGAAGTTGATTTCTTTCAGCCATGTACAATGTTAAAAGAGAGATGACATTAAGATTCGTTTCCTTGCTTTTAAGATGCAATATCCATGCATTGGCTGCTCTAAAGCTAACTTTATCTGATGTACAGGGATGACTCTCATCTTTTATGTGGTAAATTATATAACAGAATGAGGATATTCAACCTTTCACTTTCAAATAAATCTTTTCTGTTTTCCAGATGAAGCTGGCCCAAGTGTGTGGATGAAGCTGGCCCAAGTGTGTGCAACTACAGCTGTGGCTACAGAAACCAGATGACCATGTTGAGGAGTCTTCGACGCTGACCTCCTGCACTTGTGTCCTAACTTTCTGACCTTGGGTTCCAATCTTTTACAATGAGTAGTGAGTCGATGGAGACTGTTGTCTGGCCAGACCAGACCATGAATGAGACAGGGACAGTGTTGTTCCCAAACTACACCTCGGTGAACAACAGCGGCATCAACACAACAGTGCAACCCCTTATCAATTTCTGTAAGTTTAAGCCACCTCTGGAGCAATGGGAAGTGGACCTCAGCTTCTATCTGAATGGAGTCATCACACTGCTCATCATTGTCCTTGGACTTGTGGGCAATATGCTGACGGTCATTGTTCTGACAAACAAGACCATGAGGACATCAACAAACTGCTTCCTTATGGCCCTGGCTATCTGGGACTCCATCGTCCTCTTGGTCACCTTCTTCCTCATCAGTTTAGGGGAGTTCACGGAGGAGTACAAGTACACGGTGTTCCCCTACATTGTGGCATTCATATACCCTTTGGGGCTGGTTGCACAGATGATAACAATATGGCTGACTGTTTCCTTCACAGTGGAGCGATATATTGCTGTATGTCATCCCCTGAAAGCAGCAGGCATGTGCACCATCAATCGAGCCAGAATGGTGATAATAGGAGTGTGTTTTGTATCTCTTCTTTACAACATCCCCCGGTGGCTTGAATACCAAGTGCTTGCTTTCACTCATCCGCCAACGAATGACTCCTGTATGATAATCATGCCAACAGAGTTCAACAAAGACCCATTGTACAACAAGATCTACTTCGGCTGGTCCTACTTTTTGGTCATGTGTGTTATTCCTCTTGTGTCACTGGCGGTGCTCAACACATTTCTCATACTGGCTGTCAGACGTTCTAAAGCACAAAGGAAAGATATGAATGTTCGTCAATCTCGGGAAAACAATGTGACAATTATGTTGATATCGGTTGTTCTTCTGTTCATGCTTTTTCAAGTGCCAGCTCTTATATACAATATGGCTTATGCTATTGATATAAACGCTGTCCATTCTTCATTTGGATGGAAAATTCTATCAATTATTCGGAATTTCCTTGTGAATCTTAACAGTGCTGTTAATTTCATTCTGTACTGTGCTTTGGGACAGAAGTTTCGACGGACATTTGTACGAATCTTTTGCCCAAAGCTGCGCAAGAACTTGGATAATTTTAATTCGTTTTCAAACACATTCAAGATGGATAAGATGAAGAAGGAAAATGGTGCCAATAAATACGTCAAGATGGCCAACAAGAATAACCACACAACTTCAACAACAGGGGATTCTGGGGTCGTCACCAAGTCTGCTGCTATTTCCAGGTACTCACCTCCTGTTTCTGACTCAAATTTCTCTGATAATAGTGTTGCACCTGTTAGTGTAAGAAATGACAGGGTTGACAAACCCACCAAAGGTAAGCTTGATAACAATGTTGAAAGTAGCAGCAGTGATGCTCTTGTTAACAATGTTGAAACAGGTCACAGTGCTGATGAGGCAAAAGATGCAGAACATGATGCAGAAGAAAAGCAAAATCGTTCTAATAGAAATGGTGATAATGTTAGCAATGGCAAAAAGGTTGAAAAGGATACCAATGATAATGTTGAAAATGCCAAACCAGAAGTTCCAAAAGATGATAGCGAAGCAACTGATGATTCCAATAAGGCCCTAAATGATAAACCAGAAACCAATAATAGACATCCCTTATTCGATAACCATTTACCAAAGGAAGAGTTAGTTCCAAACGAAAACTACATTGAAAACGAAAACTACATAGACAATGCTAAATCAGACCTAGATGCTCCATTACTTCTGTTGTTGGAGAGTTGTAGGGAGAGTGACATTCTTTAGAGGCATTCTCTGACATCACCACTTTGTGGCTGATGCTTCTCTGCTTTAGCTGGTTGCTACCTCACAGGACACTGCTGCAGCAGATCTAGAAAAGGTGACACATGCTAAACTAGCTGAAGAAGTCACTCTTTTCTAGCTGGGTGCCAGAGAGGCGGACTTGTGCAGGTGATGTTTTCCAGGCCCTGCTTGTCCCAGTCTCAAGACTGTTTGTTGGGCATTCTTGAGACCCTAGGTGAACAAACGTGGTCCTAGCAGATTCTAAGAACCTCTCAGGTGTCTCCAATGCTGTAAAACAGCTAGCACAGAGATCAGTGCAGGAGATAGGTACATCTTCTACATGTTTGAAAAGGTAGTGTAAAGATTGGCAAGAATATATTCTGCAGAATGAATTGAAATGGCAGTGAAGCGCGTTATCAGCTTAAGCAGAATGAGTACTTACTGGTGAAAGGTCATCACTAACTAGTGAGATTACATGAGGTGGATGCTTCAGTGAGATACATTCACTACTGGGTAGTGTGAGCTTGGCTGAATGGACACAGAATCTGAATGAATGCATGTTGGACTGTTGATAAGTTCATATCAGAACAGTGAGATTACTGAGTCCATTAAGAGGCTCCACACTAACATTACTAGACATATTTACAAAATAACCAGTTGTATTTTGAATAATAACTTTATTATATTTAATTTTCAATATTATAACTAAATCCTTACTTAATGCTGCTGACAAGTTCAACTTCTTACCATCAACACAGTTATCATGTTTCTAGGTCACCTTGATACATACATACCCCACAAGGTTCATGTTTCGTTTTTAACAGGTGTTAAAAATGAAACATGTTCAAATGTGACAATTCAAGTCCATCAAAGAAATACTTAAACCTTCAAGGCAAAAAGGCCAGACAGGTACTTGCAACACGGTTTGGTGGAAGCCTTGCTAACCTTATGTCACTGCATTTATTAATGTCATATTTCTAACAGTCAAACATAAACATCCACTCTGAGATATGAGGTGTGTCAAAAAGAGTAAGTGGACATTATCACGATATTCTCTGACTGTCAAACATGAATAACCCAAGAAACGCAGCCATTTTGTAGGTCACAAGTATTTTTACAATGCTTCTTTCATACTTGACAGAAATCATGAAAGAATTGATATAAACAGATATACCATGTACGAAAGTATTACTTATTTTTTTCCAAATTTTGTTTAGCACCAACAGATGGGCTGATATGTACAATTCCTGCTGAGCAGGTACAGTGGATCACTCTCTCTAAAACATACATAGTGACTCACTCACCGGATACAGTGGACCACACACTCCACAATGTATAAAGTAGATCACTCCAGAAGATATACATGGGATCACTCACTCCAGAAGATATACATGGGATCACTCACTCCACAATGTATACAGTAGATCACTCCAGAATATACAGTGGATCACTCAACATTGTATCAAAGAACAAAAAACCCAGCACATTCACATAGAACATCATACGGAAATAGCATACATATTCATTACAGTGAGATGTGTACAAAGAACAAGCAACAGAGATGCATTGGTTGAATCCAAAAGAAACTATGAGTAGCTTGGCTGCTTATTGTCTCAAATTTGAGATAACTTGGTCACAATGCTGTCCCCAGATTGATGAGAGATAATTGGTTCAGCATGAAAGCATTTAAAGGATGACTAATTCAAATAACAAATTATTTAGTACACATTCTAAAATCATGTTTCCAAATGCTATCTGATAGTGGACGAGCTTTTGTTAAATGCAAGACAATTTAAACCCTGAATGTACATGGTTAACTTACTGACAGTACATTACTTATGGTCACATGTGATTCTATGTTTAATTTACAAAGCCAACCAAAACCTAATCAATATTGATGGAAAGGATTTTTAGAAAAGCACAATTTTTCAAGAGAGACTGTTTAGTTTAAAACAGCTTTAACTTGAGCTTTCAAAGAACTTTCATCAAAGCTGGACAATGCTCTGGCAATTGAGACATTGCACATTTGTGCAAGACATTGTACTTTTGTGTGAGACATTGTACATTTGTGCATTATTCACTGAGAATGTACAGGTGAAGACAGCATTCTCTCAGAAAATAAAGACGAGTAAAGATATTGTTTTACGAATACTCAAACATTTATAGTGGGTAATTATGTTCACATTCGTACATAGTGTTATACTATACCAATATTGGCATATCAGCAACTCGATATTAACTTGATTATGGTCATATATCTTGCATACAATACTCAAATTACGCAGCTTAACTGAAGCATTGAGGCAGGATTTGGTTCTTATCTAGGGTCTCCATCTTTCTTCTGCCATGGACTCATTTGGGTGGCACTGCCATGTTCCGTTTTGTTAAATTATAAATCATAACCAAAAAAACCCACACAAATATTTTTCATAGTAGCTTTAAATAAACATGTTTTTAATGTTCACAACAATCAAGTAAGAATTTCTCACCCCAAAACAATGATTGAATTGTTGATGACTGAACTAATGAGCATTATTCAAACACATACAGTTGAGCTTTACAAAGATTCCATGGAAATCCACCAGAAACTACATTACAAAAGCAGTGGTTTATTCTTAATGTTTCCCTACCATTGTTTTATTTATATCCAAATGTCGAGCATTATTTCAAGCATAACTCTTCTTAGCGCCTCAACAAATATATCAGTATTTGTATATGTATGCTGTCATAAGAATGACATTCAATAAAACATAAAAATACATTTACAAATACACTGTTATCCACGAATAAAACAGGCTATACATATGCTGCACATAAACACATGCTTAAGCATCATCAGATATAAAACAGCGCTTGGTAAAGATGCGGAATGTGATTTTACAGACAAATACAGAATGTGCAATATATTTGTTTGGATGATGTATTACAAAGGGATACTTGAATGTTATGTGTGCCGTGAGTGGATAAGGAAACCATTTTGACTAGCTAATGGTTCTGGGAGATGTTGGAATGGTGTTCTGTTGTTCAATGATAAATGGAGAGAATGGTCAATATTTTAAGACAGAGACAGTTGTGATGGAGATACGGTGCCTGTGGATTATTGTGCTTTCAAGATAGATTTATATTTGGTAATAAATCATTGTGTCATACATATCCTCTAACACATGTACAATGCCCTTCGTGATGCTAGCTACTTTTGTTACATACTTTGATATTACCTAGATGTTTGTGCCGTGAGTTGTACCATTCCTGTACTTAGCAATAATCCAAAAATTACTATGGAGCCTATATGTACAATCAGAGATTATATTGTGGTAACTGGATTAGTTCACAAATTATTATCCTTATTAATTGCAGAAACACTTTCAATACATCCATGTCTATAGTTTCAGCCTTAGAATGAGGAGTTTGGGGAATAGTCTCGGCATTGAAAACTAAATTTAAAATTAAAATTTCTTTCTAACCTGAAATTATTTTTCTTTTTTTACATGAAAAACTTTGCTTAAATTCATGAAAATACTGCAACATTTTCACAAAAAATATGCTCAGAAAATTACGTATGCCATGAATTGCTTTTCCTAATAACAAATAACACTTTGCAAATATTTTAAATTCAAACTGAAAAATAATAATTGTATCAAAAGAACATTTCATTCATTCATAAGAAGCAATAAGCATACCATTTGTGACCATATAATATGCTATGTTAAATATTCCCACAAAGAAATGCCATGGGGAAAAAATCACGAGTCTCTACACTTGTAGGACATACATCCAACTAGGATTTCCTGACAAGCAAGCTGACATTTTAATGCCACAAATAACCCAGAGAATATGCCCAACACAGCCAGAGCTATACATAGGCCAGAGAGGACATTGTCAACACCTGTGAATAGATGATTCTGTTTATCAACATTCCTGGTACATGTCAAAGCAGTTCTCTACAGATTCTATTTGTTGATAATTCACATCAAAGTGAATCCATCCGTCACTGATTGAAGATTTGTAGTCACTATGTCATGGTCATCTGTAAATATATTGTTGGAAATGTTTCGAAACATTTCTGTTATTTAGGCATATTCATAAACGTGTTTTTTTCTCTCAAAATGTGTTTGTGAAAACTTTGGATTGCTACTTCCGAAACATATTTACATAACTGTATTAATAACGATCACAATATGAATTCTTTTACTCTGCTTTTATTCTTTTAATATAAGCTATAACATCTTGTTCACCAATCCCTATTCATTTATTGAATAAAAATACATTTAAACATTTACAACAAAACTGAATTAAAGACACATGAAATGGGATCAAGCTATTCCTTCAAGAATTTTGGTCTGACCTTTAAATCCAAAATATATATACAACAAATAACACAAACCTCAAAGCAAGTTAAAAAACACAGACAGACAGGTGTGTTGTAATGCCTACTTCCATGATAAATTAACTCCATAAAATAGGTGTTCCTTAACTTCTTTTGAGCTGTATACAAAAATAACTTGCCTTACAACACAGTCAAGGTAGAAACATGGAAGTCAAATTCCAAAGACAATTCCCCTTTAAATAAACACTTTTTCTCAGGACTCTTTGAAGTTAACATGCTTTGGATATTGACAAAAGTCAATATTTGTAGGTACAAACTTAACCACACTTTAGCAACAATCTGTCAAACTAGAAGGTTTAAATATGTCTTGCTTGCTGTCAGAGGAGCTAATGGACACAATGGTGACCATCATGATTGGTTTTGTTTGTTGTTTAATGCTGCAGTCAGAAATATTCCAGCTATATCATGGTGGTCTGTAAATGATTAAATCTGGATCAGGCAATCCAGTGATTAACATCATGAGCATCAAGCAAAAGGGATATGATGACATGGATGAAACACGTCAGTAGCCTGACCACCAAGTTCTGTTGGTTGCCCCTTGAGGCAAGTATAGTAGCCTCTGACATCAAGTATGGGTTACTGGTGACCTCTTCTGACCTACATCTGCACATGCATGGTCCTGATGAAATAGCTTGAATACTGCTGGCTGCATTATATAACTGCATTCACTTACTATTAAACACTTAAAAGTACATCCTATATTTGCATTCACTCACTATTGAACACTTAAAGGTACATCCTACAGTTGAATTCACTCACTATTAAACACTTAAAAGTACATCCTATATTTGCATTCACTCACTATTGAACACTTAAAGGTACATCCTATATTTGCATTCACTCACTATTAAACACTTAAAGGTACATCCTATATTTGCATTCATTCACTATTAAACACTTAAAGGTACATCCTAAATTTGCATTCACTCACTATTAAACGCTAAAAGTAACATCCTATATTAGCATTCACTCACTATTTAACACTTAAAGTTACAACTTATATTTGCATTCACTTACTATTAAACACTTAAAGTTACAACCTATATTTGCATTCACTCACTATTAAACACTTGCAAGTACATCCTATATTTGCATTCACTCACTATTAAACACTTAAAAGGACATCCTTATTTGCATTCATTCACTACTGAACACTTAACAGTACATCCTATATTTGCATTCACTCACTATTAAACACTTAAAAGGACATCTTATATTTGCATTAACTCATTATTAAACACTTAAAAGGACATTCTATATTTGCATTCACTCACTATTGAACACTTAAAGGTACATCCTACATTTTCATTCACTCACTATTGAACACTTAAAGGTACATCCTACATTTGCATTCACTCACTATTGAACACTTAAAGGTACATTTTACATTTGCATTCACTCACTATTGAACACTTAAAGGTACATCCTACATTTGCATTCACTCACTATTGAACACTTAAAGGTACATCCTACATTTGCATTCACTCACTATTGAACACTTAAAGGCACAATCCGTCATTTGTTTCAGGACTTTTGCTTACTTCACCATTATACATATAAACACTCACTCATTCAACATTCATATGACAATTAGCATTTAGCAGACTGTATGATAACAAGCCCAGTTAGCAGACAGGCCCAATCACTGACATATTAAACAGTATCTGACTTGTTACCCAACTGATATGTTTTTTCATGATGTGAACAGCAGAGAACTGCCTTTGGACATGTATATATTTTTTGTTTTCACTTTAATAATCCCACGGTATCATTTCCATCACACATGCACTATTCAGAAACATTCCAGATCACATTGTCATGTTACCTTCATTATTTCATCATTTGCTAAAAAAAAGGTGTGTCATGGCTGTTTTGAAAAAAGTCCTTCACTGCTGAATGGAGACATGTTTATCAAGAAAAAAAAATGGCCATGATTCTGATGATTTCATTCTTGATTCTACCAGTTTCAACATATTCATGTTAATTAAAACTACTCCATGTTTTTTCAATATTCCATCACAGAGTGTATCCCCATAACATTGTATTATGCAATACTTCCATTTCACAAAGCTTAACTGCTAATAGAACAGAGGTTCCTCAAATGTTTAATTCATTTATTTTTGCTTCAGTTTAAATGATTTTGTTTTTTTACAATGAAGTTGATATACAAAATTTATTTTGAAAACATACTTTTTTCAACTACACTATGCTTTCAATGGTTATCAGTTCATGACATTCAAATTCA